TACTGTGTGGTGTTGTGAGGTGTTGTAGGTACTGTGTGGTGTTGTGAGGTGTTGTAGTAGTGTTGGGTGATGTTGATGTTATAGTTGTGTGTTGTGAGGTGTTGTAGGTACTGTGTGGTGTTGTGAGGTGTTGTAGGTACTGTGTAGTGTTGTGAGGTGTTGTAGGTACTGTGTGGTGTTGTGAGGTGTTGTAGTAGTGTTGGGTGATGTTGATGTTATAGTTGTGTGTTGTGAGTTGTTGTAGGTACTGTGTGGTGTTGTGAGGTGTTGTAGTAGTGTTGGGTGATGTTGATGTTATAGTTGTGTGTCAGGGGAGGTGTCAGGGTACTGTGTAGTGTTGTGAGGTGTTGTAGGTACTGTGTGGTGTTGTGAGGTGTTGTAGGTACTGTGTGGTGTTGTGAGGTGTTGTAGGTACTGTGTAGTGTTGTGAGGTGTTGTAGGTACTGTGTAGTGTTGTGAGGTGTTGTAGGTACTGTGTGGTGTTGTGAGGTGTTGTAGGTACTGTGTAGTGTTGTGAGGTGTTGAGGTGTTGTAGGTGTACCTCTGTGGTGTTGTGGAGGTGTTGTGGCAGTGTTGGGGTGATGTTGGATGTTATAGTTGTGTGTTGAGGTGTTGTAGGGTACTGTGTGGTGTTGTGAGGTGTTGTAGGTACTGGGGTGGTGTTGTGGAGGTGTTGTAGGTACCAGTGGTGTTGAGGTGCTGTAGGTACTGGTGTGGTGTTGTGGAGGTGTCAGGTACTGTGTGGTGTTGTGAGGTGTTGTAGGTACTGTGGTGTTGTGAGGTGTTGTAGGTACTTGTAGTGTTGTGAGGTGTGTTGAGGTACTGTGTGGTGTTGAGGTGTTGTAGGTACTGTGTGGTGTTGTGAGGTGTTGTAGGTACTGTGGTGTTGTGGGAGGTGTTGTAGGTACTGTGTGGTGTTGAGGTGTTGTAGGTACTGTGTAGTGTTGTGAGGTGTTGTAGGTACTGTGTAGTGTTGTGAGGTGTTGTAGGTACTGTGTGGTGTTGTGAGGTGTTGTAGGTACTGTGTAGTGTTGTGAGGTGTTGTAGGTACTGTGTGGTGTTGTGAGGTGTTGTAGGTACTGTGTGGTGTTGTGAGGTGTTGTAGTAGTGTTGGGTGATGTTGATGTTATAGTTGTGTGTTGTGAGTTGTTGTAGGTACTGTGTGGTGTTGTAGTAAGTGTTGGGTGATGTTGATGTTATAGTTGTGAGTTGTTGTGAGGTGTTATAGTTGTGTGATGTTACAGGTGATGTGTATGTGAGGAAATGTATCAATGAAATTATCCACTGTACCAATTGTGTTGTGTATCATTATTATTAAAAACTATTATTATTTTTATTATTATTATTATTATTATTATTATTATTATTATTATTACAGCAGTGAGTAAAGTCATTGGGTCCATGCAGCCACTGGAAACATCTGGGAACTTGAATATACACGTGTATGGCTGACAGATGGCTGGGTCAGGTACCGCACACCAGCTGCCAGCGTGAGGAGTGACGGCTCGCCTATTGGGGGTGAGGGCGGACAGCCATGAGTCACAGTAGGTCAGTATAGTAGTTAGCGTGATTTACCGTGAATTAGTGTAGGTCATGAAGGGTCAGGAGAGGTCAGGTTGCCATGGTAACAACCAGCGATAACGAGGTGATGGCGGGTCTTCCTCCCTGGGGAAATGGTGACACTGGACACTTGCCTGGTGGTGGGGTGACCTTGTACCGTGCTGCCTCCCTCCCTTCCTTCCCCTCTCCCCCACAGTGTTGTGATGTGTGCAGGTGTAGGCGTTGTGTGGTGCTGGCTGGTGTTGTTGATGGTGTTGTAGGTGTGGTGCTGGATGGTGTTGTAAGCGTTGTGTGGTGTTGTAGAGGCTGTGTCATTTTGTTGTTTTGATGTGTATGTGTGTATGAAATGTAATAACTCACAACAACAACCAAAATAATAACAAATACACACAGAGGAGAGAATTTGTTGTACCTTCTCAATATATAACAATAAAGTGCATTTCTCGTGACGCACCATCGCCAAGCTTGACAACATTGGCGTGGGTTGATGGTGACGGAATAAGCTGACATCTTTTATTAATCCGCGCCAGACCTTGATAGAGAAATGAATACTAACACTGAGCACCTGTGCCCCCCCAACCCCCCACCTCCCACCCTTCATCCTCCCTGAAAAACACACACACACACCTCCAGCACAAGCCATCATCAAGGTCTTGTAGTCACCTGAAGATTAGACACCCATAGCTTATTTGACCTCGGATCACCTGATGATTAGACCCCCGATCTTATTTCACCCTAACGCTAACCTAACCTAACCATAAACTAACGTGTTCCTAACTTAACCAACGCTATCTTAACCTAATCGAACTTAACCCACAAGTAGTAGTAAGGTATTATAATAATCAGAGGAAATATACTTGGCAAGAATTAGTTTTAATATGCGCCCTCCCCCCAATCTGTTGTCCCATGAATCACACAGATGTAAGAGAAATAAAAGACAATAATATAGGTGTGTGAAAGGTGGAGGAGGAGGGTCAATAGAGGAGCGTGTTGTGGCAGCCTCACCAACACTTACCTGAAGGTGATGGTCCTTTGGGAGTGGTACATCACACACACACACACACACCCACCCCTCACTGAATTCAGATAGAAACCAGCTTTAGCGTCACGTAACTACCTGCCAGTCTCCCGTTTTTCTTCCTTTATATGGACAACAATGAGTTAAGATTATTACTCTAACCTCTTCACCACTTGTTGCTTCGTTAGCTAGTTGGGCATCCGGTTTGTTCTATTACACACCGCTGGCAGGTACTGAATATGTTTACGAGCTCTGTTACACACTGTTGACAAGTACTATACTACACACCCTGGGCTCTTGAATGTAACTGAACTCGCGCTGGTGTTCAAGTTTTTTCTTTGGTCATTTACTTTTATCCTCTTCACCACTGATCGACTCGTTAGCTGCATGGGCGATCGGTCACGTCTCTGTCACGCACTGTTAGGAAGTACTGGGCCTGCACCGGCTACTGAATGTACCTGAACCCGCTCCAGTGTTGGTTAAGTCTTGTCTTGAAAGAGCTCTCACTTGGTGTAGTCACAAAATTTCTCTGGTAGGTTATTACAAATACTTAAAATTTAATTTAAGTCTTTTAATAACCCCAATATTATACAAAGTTTCGCTATATCAATATTAAGTGTACCTGCATCTGTATTTGTATCTGTACCTGTATTTATATCTGTACCTGTATTTATATCTATCCTATTGCTACGAATGCACTTTGCCCTCTTTAACATTTAATTACTAGACACTAGATAGTAATATGTTTCGTTTGTATTTCATAAGAGGTGTGTGTGCGTTCCTACCTCACCCTCAACCACGGCCAACACACTGTAGAGGAGGTAGCCACAACACTAACCCATATTACTCATAGCAGCATAACTCAAATTAACTCACCGTACAACCTTACATAAAACAACCCTTAGAGACAACTTGTTTATGTTCATTTATCACCGGAGTCAAAATTTGTCTGGAGTTTGTGATTAATTACCAACCGTCACTTAAAAAAATACTGTTTGAGGAATTGCCGTCTTAAATATGACATGAGTCAACATAACCACAAGGGTCGATCATTAATATTACAGAGTAGTTTTCTATTGACTGGCAGGTGAGGTAGGAATGATGCAGATAGATAGATAGGTACATAGATAGATAGTATTGAACAACTCTTCTCTGTGTACTGAGGTAATAAATATAATAAAGTGGACAATTAAGTGGATTTTAATCATTACTTGTGGAGATATTTACACTTAAGGTTTTAGGGGAACTAATTTGTTTCAATAATAAGATTTTTAATTATATCACTGTACTTATGTATAGAAGTTGAGGGGATGTATAATCTTTATTTATTATTTCTCTTTTATTAGGTAACTAGACATTCAGGGGAGTGAGTCTGGTCTTTTTTGTCCAGGGTTAACACAGAACACTGGAGTACCCTGAGAAAACCTGCCATGATTGGTTGTCACACTGGATAACTGGTGCAGTGTACTCAGAGAAGTCAAAATTATCAAATGAAGAGTAAAATGGTAAAAAAAAAAAGTCACTAGGTTAAAGAGAGGGGGTTAGGTTAGGTCAATGGTTACCGGTATACTCCTTGGTGTGCCTGGTGGACCATCAGATAAAGATTAGGTTTTCAGTGGGTTAGGTTGGCCGGGCCCCCTCCCCTCAACCTAGTGACATTTTTTGTGCCATTTTACTCTTAACTTCATAATTGTGACATGTTTACCTACGTTCTAGGTAGCACCATTCTTACATCTGATCCAGGCCAGGGATTGAAACCAGGACACAACTGTGAGAGGCATGTACCATAATGCTGTACCAATAACACTAACACTAGTCATTCCATTAATCATATAATACTACATGTTAACCCTTCACTACTGGACATCACTTTTATTATTTCATTAGGATAAGAGAAACAACTTTTAGACTATTCATAAACTTTATTTGTATATTCTCATATAAATACAGGTATCACTCCCATGCATCAGCGAACCCCAAAACTTGGTGCTAACAAACTCAAGAGACGGACGTGGAGGTGAAGGTGAAACAGAAGACTGTATTAAGGCAAGTCAGAGTGAAGTAAAGCTACCAGAGCTGACAGTGGATGTTACGGCTGACTGTCTGTCCTACAGTGAACTTTATTGTCTTTTGTTTATTTAACCTCTTGCCCAACTGTAGATGCCCAACACCATAATGCCCCTTCACTGCTAGTAACAGTATGAGCAAAGGTGTTATAGTTTATACTCCGTTATGTGTTCACTCCTCCATTCTGTTAAACACAAGCAAAATATTTCACCATCAAATTTATTCATATAAGATTTTGTGCCACATTTGTATAGCATACACAGATTATATATATATATATATATATATATATATATATATATATATATATATATATATATATATATATATATATATATATATATTTTTCTTTATATGTCAGTGCTATTAATCCTTTTCTCACCATGCACATAAATGACTCGGCCACTTTAGTGGAATATTATAGAATTTTGGTCTAACTTGATTTAATGTCTAATTTGTCAAAATTATATTGTTGAAATAAAATATGATAAGTTAATGGTGTAACCAGAAGGCAACTCACAAATACATAATTATGACCTTTAAGACGTTCTTCAAAAGGTTGGTTTTTGTTATATTCCCTGTATAAGGCAGTAATGCCAGTACATCTTCAACCTTCTCATTGTTAAGCATTGTCTATGTTTCAGGCTCAGCCATCTATTTTTTCCAGTTGTGTGGCCTCTTCAGCAGAGAGCCCGTGTGTGTTCAGTTTACAGTGGTCCCTCTCTTCCCCACTCAGCCAAAATACACTTCACTCAATGCCTGATGGGGGTAAAGAGCTGTGGGAGTGGCGAGTACTTTCCTGATAATCTTTTTCATGTTCCCCGTATTGTTGACATTGAAGCTGACCAATTTAGCCGCCCCCCAAAAATCCCTAGTTAGCCTTCCAAATTCTGCCGATTGGATTAAAAGAAATATCGTAGGGTGGCTACGCATTATTCCTGTCCGTCACTGAAAAGTATACATTACTGCACTAACTTTCCATAAGAATAAAACAATGGCAATTTCTTGGTCTCTTCAAACCCTCACACTGAAGGCTTTTAATTCATGTTTCTAGTCACCATCTTTATCACTTAACCCTACAGCTGGTAAAAGCCAATAAAGTGGTCCGCAATTAAGGCCGTGATAAGCCAAGTGATGTGTTTATAGACTGTGTCCTATAGGTCTCCAGGTCCCCTACACCTCACCACACACACAGTCATTATGGAGGAAGTACCGGTATGTTGGTCTCCATCTCCCAGCGACCCAGAACGGTCACACGGTACAAAAGCTCTTCACTACACTTAACCCAACCCGGTAAATTATTTATTCTTTCACATCTTTAAAGTTCCTCCTCTCTCAACCAGTGGATCTTATATCACTGGCACTTGGCAAATGATACTTCCCAAAGTAATAATCACCAACTATTTCCACACAAAGGAGAGTCACCAGTCAACATCAGTGCTCCAGAATTAAACTGAGAAATTTAGCATAATACGAAGATCATGTAATGGAAGCAGATACAGTAACATTAGCGTGTAGTGTATAAGAATATGTGAAGATGGGAGAGTTGCTTTGAGGAAGAAGAGAACATGTGTGTGTGTGTGTGGGGGGGAAGGAGAAGTTCACACGAGTCAGCAGATAGTTGAGAGGAAAATAATAACACAGATGAGATAATGGGTATGTGTGAGGAACTATGTCGAGGTTGAAAGTGATGCAAGAGTTGAATCACCAAGTCAATTGCAGTGTGAATGTGAGGAGAAAAAAAAAAAAAGCGATGAATAACTGTGAGAATGAAAATATTTAGTATGATAAGTGTTTCCATGTGGGTTACTGAGACAAAAGTGATCTATCTAAAGGCAAATATTTGTTAAAAACGGCACCAACATACAAAAGTTATACAGTCATTTCTATCATCTAACTCCTTATAGCCATAGCTAACAGTCACTCTTAATAGCATAATATAAAACCTTTACTGTACATGTATGGTCATTTTTTATATAACCTAAGCCTGTCACTGTTGTGTGTCTCGAGACTACCTCGTATCGGTAACGTGCGACAACCTTCCATAATATCAGTACATTGTGCACCTATTGATACTTCACTTGAACAATATGGTGGAATACCCTTGTTCATATCCATCTATTATCAGTATAGTTCCTCAGACATCAAGTATCTTACACACACACACACACACATCACAGGTTATAGGTGGTAATGGTATGAAGAACTTGTTAATATGCACTTGAATGGAGATGATATCAAGAGACAGATTCCACAAGAGATTATGACCTGTTCTGTGGTGATGGAGAGGGGTCAGGAGGATAGATCTTCATAGTTCAATATACAAACACTGCCAAGACATAACCACACTCGCTCATATTAGTGTACTTGCATTCTAGTTAAGTATGTGTGCTTTATCAAACAATATGTATAGAATTTTTTTTTTTTTTTACATTTTTCAGTATTAGACAGACAGTATTTCTCTACAAAAGCCTTAAATATCCATATGTTAACCTCTGGTATTTGTGATCTTATTAAAAGAGATATTGGATGCATTTTCTTCCCTACAATTTATATAAACCAATTTTGTGTTATATAAGCAAAAGCTTTTTTCTAACAAGATTATTTTCAACTATTTGTTTATAAGATTGATATTTTTAAATATTTCACAAAGAATTTAATACTGTACTTTGAAAATCTCCAAGTTCTCAATTTATGTTTATAATCTCTAGAAAAAACAGCATCTTGACTCTTGCTTTGAATCTAAATAACATACTGTACAGGGTCTCTATTATAACCCAGAGCTGGAGAGAGAAGCTTTAATGTAGGTGGCGTTGATATTTTACAGCTGTGAATCCTAAGCAAAGTACAGCTGTCCCTTAACACTCTACCTACCACCCACTTCATCCCCCCCTGAGAGAGGCTACCTGAACCGGGCCGTATGTCAGGGAGTGTGTCAGGCTGGACTAGGGTCGCAACAACACTCTGACTTCTTGAATGGACGTTTGGGCTGGTTCACATTGTTCCTAAACCCAGATTATCCTTCACATCTTGTAGTATTCTTAACCCCTAAATCTTATTCAGTCTCAGAATTAAACCTGTATTAATACATTATTTAGGAACTGTAGTTTGTCCTAATTGTTGAATAATTTACAGGATTTTTAAGCCTCTACACTGCTTCCTTCACCCCCCCAGACTCTTATAGTGAGAACCCTGATAGACACATTATATTTCTTCACAGTACAAGCAGTTGTGACCATGACCTACTCCTCGACCATGACCTACTCCTCAACCATAACCTACTCCTCGACCATGACCTACTCCTCAACCATGACCTACTCCTCGACCATGACCTACTCCTCGACCATGACCTCCTCGACCATGACCTACTCCTCGACCATGACCTACTCCTCGACCATGACCTACTCCTCGACCATGACCTACTCCTCGACCATGACCTACTACTCGACCATGACCTACTCCTCAAGCCCAATAATCACAGCAACAAGAAAAAAATTAAATAAAAAGAGTTAACAACAATATGTTTTAAATGCTAATTATGAACACCTTAATAATTTACAACATTTACAATACATTACTGTACACATGCTCCTTGAAGTCTAGTTTTAGTATTACACAGCTATTATCCTCAGGTAAAACACACACATTGCCCTATTCATTTATTGGTCAAACAATATAAAACTTTGATAAATTTATTAACAAGTTTAAAAAAAGTATTCATTTGTTGTATGCTGTTGCCTCTCTAGATCAGTCACCACAAATAATCAATTAGAATTCCTTATATTTTAAGTGTAAAAAAATTTTCAAATTTATAAATACATTTGTCTATGATAACACACATTTCAACATCTTAAATCAGACCTAAACATTGTTGAAATAATACAAACCTATGGAGAAGACAATCGTTTATCCTAGCCAGCCTGTCTCTGGATAATGGAAAATATAAATTTGTTTGATTACACTCAGTAATTGAGAACAAGGGGTCCAAGAGCAATGAAAAGTAAAGGTCACTTAAGTGTTGCAGACCCAATGCCTCTCCTGGGCTTTCAAAAAGAGGCAGTGGTGTTCGGTACAGTACCCTGTTTTAGCGAGTGAGGAGACGAGAGTGTTGACGGGGAGGAAGGACTCGGACATTGTAGATATTAATATGAAGAAACAAAAAAAAATTGAATTTAATCTTATTTACTGTAGTATATAAAAGTATTGCTTCATTACTGACTATATAACTAAAACCAAGCCTTTTTGACTATAGATTTATAGCCAACAACTGGAACATTAAAGTCTAGCTACAATGCCTTAAACATTTTGCAGTTTTAATATGATGTGTAAATGCATGAAATCCAGGACCACAGAATTACCTCAGTGAGACGTAGAGTAGGAAATGGTTCGACATGGATAGCGGTCTGTAGAAGACAAGTGGGAAGCTCATATAAAAAAGAAGCCTATTGTGGCCTCTATAAGACAGACCATTTCATAAACAAGAAACAACCACCACCACCACCACGGTTTACATCTTCCAACATCTCGGTTCTTTCCTGATGTCTTTCTCTAACTTGTGGAATCCATTGCCATCAAGTGTTGTTGACCCACTGACACATGATGCACCATTTAAAAATCTTAATACTGTAATAAAAAAAAGAAGTTAAAATGTCATACACCACCAAATTATTATTTTTTTCTAAAAGCACAAATTATAATCTACAAATCATTACAATTTAGCGGTCATATTATGCTTTTACAGTTTGGAGGAGGTGCAGTTAGGGTGCCAGAGAGAGTCAGCACAAACACAATGTACCAAGACAGAAGCAGTTTTAAGTACAAAAGACTGTTAGTATCTAAAATAATAAGTGTTCTTAACTGGGTTTTTTTTCCTATTACACTTGACAAATTATTATTTATTATGATTACACAACTTTGGATATGTAGCTAAAAATATTGACAGATGACAGTGAACTGGAATCACTCAAGAGACTCACCTACCAGCAGACTTGATTACCACCATGAAGCTCACATAAGCGTAGTTTGCCTTTATATAAATTTGGCCCTCGTACAGTACCACATAACAGGGACCGACCTCATACTTTGGTAAGATCTTGAATAAGGAATCACACGGACTCATCGCCACACCTCCACCATGTCAGGGGCTCAGAGCAATAGTATACTGTTATCTCAGTCCAACACAAGCCACAACATTGTAGTATTTTGAGTTTCATATCTAACCTGTATTTTCCCATCGTCAGAGAATGTTATTTTTGAAACACGTCTGAATTTTGTCATTTTCAGATGGGTACTTGAACGGCGTGCAGTATATCCCACCTAAAGTGATATCAGGTAATTATGATCAAACCATTGCACAAGTTCCCTGGACATATTAGTTTATTGCAGCAGTTATCTGGATGAGCACACTATCCCATGATTTGCTCAAGGAAATAGGGCAGGGGTCACTTTTACATTAATATTTCCCTTTAGTCTTAATTTAGCTCAAGTTGCACCTTTTTCAAATAAAAACAAAATATACTAGCTTTTGAAAAATTGTTTCATTACTTATGTTTCTTTTGCTTCTGGTTTTTATAATTCCACCATAACATCAACACGTCAAAGAGACGGATCTCTCTCCCTAATGTAAACGAGTGTTTTAAAATATTAACAATATCTAAAATGAATGAAAACAAAATACACACATATAAACTTGTAAACAAACATATTCAACAAGTAAAAGAACCTGCGTACCACACTTCCTCCCCGGACAGGTAAAATATATTGTATACTTAAAGAGCTAAGAAATAATTGTAATGAACGAGTAAGAGTTGTGGTGCATAATGTAACACTTGTCACTGTGAACCATTGACACATATACAGTATTGAACTATACACTTGTTTGTACTCTTTGAGAACCTGAGTGTTGAATGATGTGAGTTGTTCCCTTCTCCTTCCACGACCTGTGTACATAGTGTGTTATGATGTACTACAGTGTATATTTTATCTTGTATTGGTGCATCAGTGTAGATCACGTCCTGTAATGATGTAGTGTACCGGTGTGTACATCATGTTCTGTAATGATGTACTATACTGTGTCCTGCTATAGTGTACCAGTGTACATTTTACCCTGTACCTGTATTGGTGTACCAGTCACTCAAAAAACTATCTATACAAAATTGTGTTGAAAAAATATGACACAATGGATGAAGAATTTTGACAACCCTACGGAGACAACAGGAGTCACAGTGTTCATTCTGGAATTCATCGACACAACCCACAACCCCCCCATATTAGAGATAGTTTTATGCGTGACTGTACATCACACGTCACTGTCACAATCTCGATGGTATATTAAAACAATTAAAAATACTTAGGATGACATAATCAAGAGTGTCGTTGTGTAACTCTTACCCCAAAGGTTGCATCTGGTCCCAGGTTTATTTTCTGTAGCCCACCAAAGACCATTTAAAATTAAGTAAAACTAAGAATGATTAACAATCCCCATCTGCTGTGATTGTTCCCTAACATACATCATCAAGCTTCATAAAATGGTCAACAGCTGAAAAAAGATTGTATTTCCCTCATCTAGACGACTTAATTTTTACTTCACACATCAAATTGTTTTTGAAGAGCTTATTATTTAATTTAACGAAGGACATTTTCAGGATGTAATTGTTTTTAGTCGTTATTTAGGCAAAAATGACGGAAATTTATTTCACTCGTCGTCCCCTGCTGCCTTTAAGAACACTTTTATACTCAAAAATCATCTTCACCAATCTGTCATTTCTTTAGTATGGCTGTACAGTACCATATCTCTTCACTTTTATCACAGTCAGGGAGTCCTTGAAAATATAACAGCAGTCCTTTCATCACTAACTGTTATGTATTATGTGTGTGTGTGTGTCCAACTATGTTGGACTGGCCATGTTACCCGCATAGATGACTGTAGACTGCCAAAGCAGCTACTTTACAGTCACCTAACGAATAGTAAACGTAACGCTGGCGGGCAACTGAAGAGGTATAAGGATAATCTTAAGACAAACCTGAAAAAGAGCCAAATCGACCTGGGAGACGATTACACACCGTAACGCTTGGAGGAGCACCACACGAGAAGGTATCAATACTTTCAATTTAGCCCAACTGCAAACCGAGGCAAACAAGCGCCGGAAAGACGCTGCCGCCGCCCCTCCCACACTAGATGTAGCCCTCCACACATGCAACATCCGTAGACGGCACTGACGACCCAGTATTGGCCTCTCGGGTGACCTCAGAGCTCACCAACAAAGGTGACCTCCTTAATGGCTGGATGATCGTCATACTCGATTCCAAGTGATAGCAAAGTAGTAGTTTGTGTGTGTGTGTGTGTGTGTGATTCTTATTTCCAGTGGATACTTTTTTTCCAATATTTTGTAAATCTTGAAGTGTAATGTTCTAAATTTTCAGGACATGTTTAAAGATAATTCTGAATGTTTATAGTGATTCTCAGAAAAGTATTAATTGTTTGATCTTGCAGGCAGACAGAGGAAGTGTTAAGAGCCAGAGTGACTGCAGGCTATCTATGAAGTCTCTTTGATACACTAGAGATCAGTAATTTTTTTAAACTTATATAAGTGAACAGCTGATGTGTATACGTGCCAAAAAGTGTCGTTACGATTTTGTGCTAGACAGTATGACACAACAAACCAATCCATAAAGATAATTTTTGGAGTGTGTGTGTGTGTGTGTGTGTGTGTGTGTGTGTGTGTGTGTGTGTGTGTACCTCTCCAATAAATTTTAATTGTTTTTACCAAACCATTCTCAAGATGCTGATTGAAGAATAACAAGGAGAAAAACAAGCAAAAATATAAGTCTCCAGTACGAGACTCAATTATGCCACCTTCTATCTAAATACAATGCAAATGTTAAAAGTAAAATCACATCAACTAACTTGCCCGAGACACAAGTTTGATCCTATGGCCAGACAAAGCTGAAGGGATGTTTTTCTCCTCTGTAAACAAACACTCACTGCCATCCTTAACCACTATGCTTGACAACACTAAGGATCAACTATTTCCATGTATTTCTCTCTCTTCCTCCCCTAAATTTTTGTTAGGTAGATCAAAGTCACAGAAAAACCTCAAAAACAGAGGTAAATGAATGGTGGAAGACAAGTGTATCAATAAACATACAATGAGTTAGACAACAGTAATGAGTATTAACTATATTTATTGTGCTTGGAGTGTAAAGGACTTGAGTACTCTTTAAAGACTTCAAATGATTACTAAGGTTCAGTATGCTATTCACTCACTGTGCACCTAAGAGCCTCTATCTACCAACACATCTCACCCCCCCCCCCTTCCTTGAGGTTTATGTTACCCTACAAAATGTTGGTGGCCAGTGATACAATAGTCAAGTCTTATCAGTGATAGAAGGGCGTCTGTGTAGTGCACTCATACACTCGTACTCATTTACTACATCAACAATGTGTGGGCCAACGTAAGCAGCATAATTCTTCTGCTCATATTTTGGGCCAGAGAGCAATGGGTCATGTTAAGTGATAATCCAACTTATGGACACTTTTTTAAGAACACTCACTGTTCATTACGAGAGACTTTACTGTATACAAGTACGTACTACTGAGGTAATATGAATCTTGCACTACCCAGGTTCACTTACTTGACTCAAAAAGTTTTTCTTATTGTTCAAAACAAGTCACTTTAACCAGATCGAATTTAAACCCTTACATAATTGAAGGATATCACTTCACTCCTAAGGAAATGGGTCAGCAAAATATTTTTAAGATTGATCTAAAAAATCCCAACATAACAATGGTAAGGTTTAGGAGTAGCAAGAGTGGTAAATACTACACCATGAAATATTACATATGTACCTATATTTTTATGATAAGTTTAAACCTTTACCTAATAGTGACAAGAATGTGTTAATTTACAGTTTCAGAATCCCATGTTATAGTGTTTAATCATAAGTGTCACCATCCTTAGTCCCTTCATTTGCTGACAATTATTCTCTCTAACTATTGTATCACGATTGTTCTGCTGCAGTGTCCTCCTCCACAACTTACACCCCAAGATAACCATTTAGTTTATATAATAACAAAGAAAGTTCTCTTCATTTGATTCTGTCTACAAATGTGAACTGTCAACACTTATCTACATTTATGAACCTCCAAATTTTTTCTGGTACTTTCTTAACCAAGTATTGTACAGTTCTTGATGCTAAAAACTTTCATCGCTGGTGAAAAAATATTATTTTGTAAGACTAATGTGAGGGTTAATATTTTATTAACAGAAGATAAAATTATACCAATCAGGTCTAAAAATTATATACAGTACTGTATACTTTACTATTGAACCCTTTCTATTGTATAGTAATTATTCTTCCAGTTTGTAATGTTACGACTGAACCCAAGAGACAAGAGGTTACTCCCAAGCCTAAGCCACACACCAAGTGCTGTGGTGTACACTGGAACACTCACAAGCGTTATCAAAGCTCTGGACTTCAAAACTGGTCTCCTGATGTGACAGATAGAGACAACAGGTATTTGAGCTAAGCTGGGGTGGTAAAAAGGATGTTATCTTCAGGGCAACTATTAGTTTACCATAGAGAAGAGCCGTGGCATTGACGCGTTGTTCGGTGTGATATACAAGTGCCACATTTATTTTGTGATACAGGACATAACACCTTAAATAATGTTTACCTGGTTTTTACAATGTACTCTATAGAAAAAACTGATCATAAACGAACTGGTCATTTTAATTGGCGATCGGTTCTCATTGACAATTCTATTATACTGATCGTTTTCTTAAATTTAGGATGTTTAATATTTTGCTGAACTTGCCATAATCGTTTTCTTTCACCTCATACAAGATGTCTCACAACACAGCACAGTGACAGGTGATCAGAATCAATAGTAAGAATGTCGCTACGATTCTGACCTGTCTGTGCTGAAGTGAGGAGGTTGCAAAGGCAGAAAGAAAAAGAAAAAAGTAATGGAAAAGAATAAATGTTTTGTCAAAAGTGAACCAAAAAGTCAAGAGTCAAAAATTAAAATATCAAACCTCTTGGTGCCAATCCATGCAGCTAACGCTCGAAACCAAAGTGCCAAAGAAAATCGCGATAATGCATAGTATTCATTTTTTATTTATTTTTTGATGTGTCAAGCAAGGTCTAGTATACAGTTACATTGTGTTTTTAAAGTTTAAGATCAATTTTTTACTATTTTAAATACAGATTGAAAACATGTTTATAAATCCTGTGTTCTGAGACTTTCCTAACCCACCTGTATGGTCTAACTCGTTACTGTGTTAACTCGATTTATTTCACAAATCTATCGCGATTTTCATTGGGGTTACATAAACAATAAAAGGTTTTCAATATCATGTATTTAAGTTAATCCTTTGCTATTACATAATTTATTTATCAAAGACTATGAATCTGCAACACTGCAAAATGCATTAACATTACAATAGTATTTTTAATGAGTTCATCTATATATAGATTTTTAGGTACAGTTGCTATTAAAACTGAATATCTGTCTGTGTTATTTGCTCAATAGTCAGTCATAACGGATAATAATTAAGAAGATTTTTAGCTTTTTAAGAACTCAAGGAAAAGTCTAAATAAAGCAGGTGATTCACAGGGAAGAAAACTTAAAGGGGTAACAATAATGGTGTCATAATATAATGCATTCTCCTCTTTCTTCTTAAAACAGCTTCAGCTCGTCAAGTTTAGTCCTCCAGTCATACACCACAACATAAACTAGTAACTTTCTGCAGTAAATAACAAACTCTTCCCGAACCTTTCGACCATCAATCACACTCACGACGACAGGAATAAGCACGTACAGGGTTTCTCTCAGGACGACTCGCACTATATCCTCGGAATAACTTTCTAAATATATTATTCTCCTCTACCATTCTCTTTCCCACACAGACAAACATTCCAGCTCACTCTACTTGTGACTCAACTGAGAAGCAATATTAAGTATTTTATACCTTGAAACTGTCCAGTCCTATGATTCTCGTCTCTTGAAGATCGTTCAACTTGTACTCGCAGAAGAATGAGGTTGTACTGATTGGTAAATAAAAAGTTATGAGCACCTTCTGGAGACGAAAATGTTATTTAAAGATATTTTATCCAAAACTGATTTTACTCCAAACAATTTAAACAAGAAGAGCAACAATGTGATAAAAAGTTTTTCATTTTGAGTGAGTGGCACCACAGCACAACAAAACCTTCACTTACGACCAAAATAAAAACCAACTACTGTACAGTACATGATTAAAACTCTACAGAAGCCTGAAGGTAAATTTGTGAACATATACAATATCTAGTAACTGCTCAAACCATCTCTTAATATTACAATCCCATATTTTCCTCAAGAAGAAATTATGATTTTGGAGGCATAAATGTAGACTAAAAATGACCATCATTCCCCAATTGAATCCGGTTTCATGTCTTACCAGGCAGAAAGGATTATCTTCCTTTAAGAATAAACACAGAGAAGTATGTAACCATAATGAAGAAGTGAAGGACCCAGAACAGCACATGAACACACCTCCCAGTAAAGGGAACATTGTACCCAATATTAAACCCCACTAACTGTACTGCAGTATGGACACCGGTAATTCTTTAATTATTTATACCCTGAGTCTTGTCCTTGCTAAAAATTTTGGGGAGGGGGAAATCCATATATTATTGCCCTAAATTGTATGTGATTATTTGTGTAGTTTAATTGACACTTTAAAATAACTAAAATGAGAGAAATTCCAACATTAAGCTCCTGATGAGACGCATGGATGTAAGCATGTACAGTATCTGGAGATCTTGTATTGCAACACCGATGACAATGAAACTATAATGTAACTCGCGATCAGGACCCAACGAGAGAACTTTCAGGTTCGCACGGGTCGTCGAACATCTGGCCGAGACAACATCTACCCACAACTCTAAAACAATACAGTTCTCTTTAATTGAATTTTGTCCGCTGATCCGAATCGAATTACTGTAATCCATTATCCATGCAATGCTTCACAACTCTTCATATGCAATAGAAATAACGTTTTTTTCCCTAATAACACCAATCCTTTATCAGCTGATTTAATGTGAAAGTGACCTCAAGCTGCCCACACAGTCCACCTGATGCCTTGATGCTTAAGCCTGACAGTTTCCAATGTTATTTTCAATGTCATGATAAAACTCAAGACTGTTCCATAGTTGCTTTCCATATAAAATAAAATTCTGCAAAAAGGAAATACAATAAATATGAGAACTTAGTAAAGGCATAACCATGATGCACATATTCAACTAGAATCACTTGCTTGTAACTAAATATGAACAATAACCAAGACTGTACATCACACAATGGCATCATCACAAATGTGTGGAATAAATTAAAGTGAAAAATTGTAAAAATAAAGTCAACATTCCACTTTCTGATTTAGAGATCTACATCTATCGCTTCCTTTGTCAAGGAAATGATTCACACTCCCACAATAAAAATACAGCAAATGTTACTTTAAGTTAACGGTAATATGACCGGTAACTGCAGCTTCGGTTTTCCATTAAGGGTCATTACACCTCATCGACCTCATAGAAAAAGTTTTCATGCTCATAGCAGCATTCCTCATCACAGAGAGAGCGTGGTGGTGGGCCACAGTTAAAGGGAACAAGTGAATGTATGTACAATAAACCTTGAGCGTCTCACAGAAGACATTATCTCTTCCAGAGTCGTTTGAGGTTAATGAAGCATTTCCCTGACGCCAGAGCAAGAGAAAAGGTCCCGAATTCCAAGGTGTCGATTGAGCTCAACTTATAAAAGATGCACTTGAGCTATTTTTATCAGTAATTTGATTGGGTACGTCCCTCAAAAAGATCACTGACTGCTTGTGATTTGGACTTTGCCAAGCAGATTGCAAACAATGTTGTGGAATTCGGTCCAAAACATGAGATAAGTGGCTTGATGGCCCCTGAGAGAGTAGTAAAGGGCCCACTAAGGGAGTGTCACTGTTGGCTGCCCAGTATAGAATCTACGCTGGCGAAGGCACACGACCCAAGACCCGAACGAGACATCAAATTGATCAGCTGCTTCGTGTGTGCCACACAGATCTCTAGTGGGGGTCTTCTTGGCAGCTGGTGAGACTCTGAAAGTTAAGGTACTCAATCAAAACAGAGTACAAAACCTCTTATGCAAGGTAAAGGTAAAATAAACAATATAGGGCAAACCCTGAATTAAAGAAACACTAGATGAAGCAATTCTCCCTTAAAACTCCTTATAAAAAGACCATTGTACTGTACACAGCCTAAGTCATCTCCATAAAATCTTCAAACAGGCATTAACAGACACACTACTCATGGCTGAGTCTATATGTACAGTACTGAGAATGGAAATACTTCTTAGCAAATAAAGGTCCCAGCTTGTAAGTCCAACCCTCTTAATTGACTTCTAAAAGTGAAACCAAAAGTATTAAGAATGAAAGAACTAATTGAAAGTTAAAGCTTGCAAATCTTTCCATCTTCAGTTTATATGAAAGTATTTTATATTACATTTCACCTTTTGAATTTTAGAGGCCTTTTTTTAAATAAATTACATTCACGTTCTCTATAGATACTCTTCCAAACTTCTGAACCCAAATTAGTAACTCCTGCCCAGTGCTTCTACAATCCCTGTGTCCTCGTGTAACATTGTGCTTAACTTACAGGCTCTTCAGTCAATAATCAGCAGACACCACATCTGGCCAAGAACATTTTCACCACTTTATGCATGCTGGTGTGTATTTAAATAACCGTGGCAACGCATAACAACATAAGAATGGAGAAAATTGCAGCGGGCCTATTGGCCCATACTGGGCAGTCCCATTTACACCCAACCACTATCGCTCATATATCCATCCAACCTATGTTTGAAGCTATCTAGCATATTCGAGTTAATGATGGTGTTTGGTAACTTGTTCCACTTGTCCACTACTCTATTTCCAAACCAGTGTTTACCTATCTCGCGCCTAAATCTAAATTTGTCTAATTTAAAACCATTGTTACGAGTTCGCTCCTGGTTGGATAGTTTGAGTACCTTTGTAATGTCCCCTTTGTGTAGCCCTGCCTTCCATTTATACACCTCAATCATATCGCCCCTCACTCTACGTCTCTTGAGGGAGTGCAAATTAAGATGCTTTAACCTGTCTCTGTACTCAAGGTTCCTAATGCCCGGGATTAGTCTTGGCATTCTCCTCTGAATTCTTTCTAAGGATTCTATATCAATTCTGTAATGCAGTGACCAGAACTGAACCGCGTATTCCACGTGAGGTCTCACAATGTACGTCAGTCAACCATAATTACTGTAGTGTTACTTTTCCTATGGATTTCTTAAAGAAGTCCTTCAGTGTTAATATTTAAGAAAATATACAGAATCTCCCTTCATTTGCTGTCATTTGTTCACTCTACTTGCTGTACCCAATGTGTTCTGAAATGGTGTTCCCCTTCCATAAGGCCCCAGAATACAGTATATGTAGTCATTTGGTTTATCTCAGTCACTTCACCATAGATCATCAAAAATAAGTAATGATGCCATGACACATAACCACATATCCCCACAGACTCCCCTTTACAGTTCTTCATATTTACCAAAAACTTACCTAATATTGCAGAATTTAAAGACTGACAAACAGGTTCCCGCTGTAGAGGATCCAACTGCCACCCGACAGGACTATTCCATGGATCGTTATATGCTAGTAGGCTGAAAGCGTCCTGAAATAATCCCAGAATAATAACAGATAGACTCCAAACTCCAATATTTGTATTTTTAATTTCTCATCAATTTTTATTTCATTCTTGCTGGCCCTTCCCTGATACTGTGTAGTGTATGGTGGGTGAAGTCATGAGCAATATACAGTACAGTACACTACTTTCCTCTCAATTAGTCATCCTTTCTTTCCAGCTGCCAAACCAGATTTATTCTCCTCTCATACAAAATGTTAATATCAGTGTTTGTCACCATAAACCTGAGTACTGAAGCAGTTAATAAATGCAATGCCTATCAATGTGTTATTGTCATTGAATGTAATAGATTAATCCCTGAAACACAATTTTCCTTATTATAATCAGTGCTAAAAATATTCAAGTGGTAGATTTTCTTCAAGAGGTACAGTACACATGATAACATTCCTATGATACACTTTAAGGTCTTTTACATTACAGTTTATCACATTGTACTGCCTAGTGAGCTGCTGTATACACAAGTCTACAATTACTGACATGCAACCAGGCCCAAATTAAGGTTGTGAGGGGCCTAAGGTAGGATTCCATTCACGCTTTTGCAGTGTGTTTGCTTTTTCAATTACTACAGGGAGCGATTGGCATGTACTGCAAATACAATGCAAATGCCACAGTACCAAAGGAAACAACCATGTAAAATTCATTGTAAAATTCATTTTTGGCACTAACACATGAATGGAATCCTAGCATAAGGCTGATAAGAGGGAAGGAACTATATTGTACTGTATATGTACTTATGTATATTATGTATATATTGTACATAATTAATTAAATCTTCAAACAAATTGAAATATTCATTCATCCAACTTGTTAAGTTGTGACAAAGACTTAAGTTCAAGAAACACAAATTGTGGCCTAAACTCGAGGGCTACAGCCTTATGGTTAATCTGGCTTGATCTTGTGTTGGGTAAGTTAGAGGGGTACAGGTACTGTACTCATCCAACCATGAGACAGATGTAAGACAACAGTCATGGTCAACCTACTGCTGGTAATTAGATGATGAATATTTCATTAATTGTTGTCTGTACAAAAGTCATATAATAACTTCAACTTACTTGAAGCATTTTCTTGTTGTGATCATTCTTGCCTAACTCCCTCCGTAGGACCTGGCTCATGTGTTGCACTTCTCTCCCAAAGGCCAACATGCGTTCTATCGCTGCTGGGTTGCCACCACACATTTTTCTGCTGCCCAGACTGTTCTCCACTTCTGTCAGGGATTATTTAGTAAACCTGACACTCCAGATTAATGTCAACACTATTACTAACTGCCTAAAAATAAATAACAATGTGAGCACAAATAATTTAGCTCAGATGAACACAGTAGTACCTTTATATATGCTCATCATCATCATCACTTTTGGTAATTACTTATCCTAGTGACTATCAATCAGACTCTCACATACACATATGTGTTACCTACATGTACACAAATTTATATCCTTCATCTTAGACACAAACCATCATGAATACAATATTGAAATGGAATGATTGTAAGCTGTAAAGACTACATTGGGAAAATGAAGAACTGGTGCATTTGGTATTAAAAGAAAAGAAAAACAATAATAATAAAAATACTAAACAACCATCTTACTTCTATATAAGGTGGCTCAAGGGATAAATAATTAAATAAACCTTGAAGACGGTAAATGACAGAGATGGACGGTGCAGGACTAATGTGAAAAATATGAGAGAGAGAGAATCACCACAAGAGTATACACAAGTAGGTTCACACAAACTTCAGATGATGTCTTGACCTAACAGACTGATCTCCATACCTGAAATATACAAACTATGGGCCCAAAAGAGAGAGAGAGAGAGAGAGAGACACACACACACATCTATGGGCAATATTATATCAAGGGTTAAATGAGAAAAAACACATAACATGGGGTAAAAAATTCTCATTACCTTAAAGAAAATCTAATAGTATGTAATAATTCCTCAGTGCTACTTACCCATTGCTTCCTCATTCTCATCCTGTATGTCAACGTCTTTGGAAAACCCATTGGAGAAGCCATTACTATGACTGGTGTCTCCAAGGCTGTTATTAGTCTCTTGTAAATGGTGACTATTTGGTTCCATACATTCCATCTCTGTGTCGCTGTCGTGCATATTTGACGACGAATTGGATGACGATGACGATGACGAAGACGACGAGGAACCGGAAGGTGCGGGAGGATGAATAACAGGAGTGGTGCCGTTTGTAGCACTGGGCGGGCTTGTGGCGCGGATATCCTGAGCGTTGCGCTGATTGAGCTCCTCGGTGGTGACGGGCGAGGCTGAAGTTGGTCCACTGCCTATGACGTTCTTGGTGGACTGGATGACTGATGTGTGCTGCTGGATGACGGGTGTGGAGGTGGTGGAGGATGATGGGGGAGTGGACGATGTGCCTGTACATACCAAACAAACACCAGTCATCATAATCATCCCATGTAAGTACATTACATAAACAATTACCAAGAGATGTAGGGAGGATTTCCTTCATTAATAAACTAAGATTTAAACTTTTAAAACAAATATCCAGTAGCAGACTTATGTACTACCAACCTATACGCTACAGACAGTGACCCTGAACTGTCCAGTAGTATTTTAAAATATCCACAATTGATTAAAAAGACAACCACACTCTTGTTAACTCTTTCACTTCTCTTAACTCCCACACTAAGAGGTATGTAGACAGTACTGACTCACTCACCAGGCACTGGATCTGTTGTCCTACCATTGGACCAACAGGGAGGTGAGGGAGAGGACTCGTGTGTGGGCGGTCGAGATGGAGACCTTGAAACTCCTCGAACTTCGGTGTCCGTACCATTTACCATTTCTATAAACTGCCGCACCTGAAACAGAAGACGTTCGTTTATGCCCTGTTAACTTCACCGTTTCTCCTCGTCCATGCAAATACAATGATAGGACGGTTGATGGGAAAAATTTTATCCGTAGTTTCCATTCTCCTTTCTTTCCTACAAGACTTGAACATAACAGCCCAGTCAGAGTAACACCTCCCTCTCACATGGAAGGAGCCACTCTGGTAGGCCTGATGTTGGTCTATTTGATGTAGCGTCACACACAGATATAGGGTTTGAAATTCGGCTACAACCTAAACTTAACCAACTTTTAACAGCGATGGCCAATAACACACTACAACACACTCCACTGAACAGACAGAGAAATGTATCATACAGTACAGTATTGAGTTCAGGTACCAGATGATGTCCAAATAATCTTTAATTTTGTCTTTTGCCGAGAGAAAGTTTATGACCAGTAAGGAAAACACAGCTCAAGACACTGACCTTCAACATAAAAAGTAAGTTGTGATTATTCTCCAGTAAACCAGGATACAGCTGTTGCACTGTTTCTATGGCCTCACCCATACGGCCTCCCAACACTAGCTTCTGGATCTCTGCAAAGAAAAAAAAAAAAACACATTTACCCTCAAACATCAGTTCCTGTTTACCATAGAGAAAATATATACAACCTTGTCCTATATGTAGTGGCAGCCATTACACAGAGGACACAGGGAAGTGTTTTACCACCACTTTACTCTTGGTGATAAGATGTTAAGTGATGGTGGGGGGGAAGGTGGTTGAGTTGATGATGGTGGGGGGGAAGGTGGTTGAGTTGATGATGGTGGGGAAGGTGGTTGAGTTGATGATGGTGGGGAAGGTGGTTGAGTTGATGATGGTGGGGGAAGGTGGTTGAGTTGATGATGGGGGAAGGTGGTTGAGTTGATGATGGTTGGAGGAAGGTGGTTGAGTTGATGGGGGGAAGGTGGTTGATGATGGTGGGGGAAGGTGGTTGAGTTGATAATGGTGGGGAAGGATGGTTGAGGGGGGAAGGTGGTTGAGTTGATGATGGTGGGGGAAGGTGGTTGAGTTGATGATGATGATGGGGGGAAGGTGGTTGAGTTGATGATGGTGGGGGAAGGTGGTTGAGTTGATGATGGTGGGGGGGAAGGTGGTTGAGTTGATGATGGTGGTGGTCAGTCTAGGAGGATACAATGGTTGGACTTCTCTCAATTAGACCAACTGTGAACTAGAAAACAAGAGCCTCTAATAAACAGTGTATGGTCCTATCACCATCACTACACACTGTAAAAATGAGATGAGAAATGACAGAATGAATCGTCATGGGAGGACATTAAGAGGCAAGGTACGAGATATTTCTTTGTACGGTATATACCAGTGAGACATAACAACACCTACTTTGTCTATTTTTTATTGAGGTCAGTTCCTCATCAAAGTCTTGACTAGTGGATCTGGCGAAGGCTTCAGCTGTGGAACAATAACCATGATGAACTAGGTAGGTGGACACCATTCTGGAAAAACAACATTCATATTATGTTAAGGTTGTGAGTTTGTTATTTTGGACTTTGTCTTATGATACAGACTCATGAATAGTATTCACAAAACACAAGATGACACAATAATTTATGCTTCAGGTAAGGACCTCTAGACCAAGCTGTAAGACAACCATTTTTCAACAGGTATATTTATGTTAATCACCAGTAACTCCCCTCACCTGTGGAGCATAGTCTGCCACTGTCCATAAGTGTCCGGGACGGGGAAGTTCTGGATGGTCGTCCGCACACGGCACTGTAACTCTCGCATCATCTCTCCAATATCAAAAACAAAAGGCGCTTGACCAAAGTTGGCATCTACTACTTCACCAGGAGTTTGTAACCCAACAGTTGGATATAACTGTGACTGTAACAGGAGAAAGAGAGTGTGTTACTGCAAATAAGAAACAAGCCATCACACAATCCTAACCCTTAATTGGGTGCTAAGGATTTCTTCATCCCACATTTTCCATTTGCACAAAAAAGGACGAAAGGAACATGACACTATCATAGGTGATGGCAGTGATGATTCTACTGAATTAATTATTATTATAATTACCATTATACCCAAACCTTATGCTAAGGTTGAAGAAAAATATTTCAGTGGTTTATGTAATTCAATACAGTATAAGAGTAATTTGAAGACTGACTTATACAAACAGCAAATTCTTTATTCCCATCTTAACACAACTTCTTCTACAGGAATTACTCTATTATAAAAGGACAAGTAACGTCAACGCTCACCGGTAAATCTGTAAATGCTACACCAAGGTAATGGCCATTTTTGGTGTAGAAACAAACATTGTCGATAAGGTTGATACCACAGCCAATTACATCGCCTGAAACACAGAAAACAACAGGAAAATATAACTCACTAGAAAAAATCCAGTGAATATCTACCTATTTTAAAATACATTTCAGGGTATAATAAACACAGCTCAAACTCTTTGTTGCTTCTCAAAGTCCTCCCAAGCTTTCCACGGTGGCCTCCAAATGAACCATAATTAATATACAAATACACGAATGAGGTGTCAAAATGCTACCGGTAACTCCCACCACCACGCAGGAATAATTAAATGATGTTCCTGATATGAGCTGCAAGCTAGAAATCGTCTAAATTTCAGTTCTTCAGAGGGGGCTACTGTACTGTACTGTCAAAGATTAAACTCAACAAACCTGTGGTGAAGGTAGGGCCGTAGGGGTGTCCGCTGCCCGACGAACAAAAAGAATGGCCATCGTCGCCGTGATAGCCGAAGGAATTCTTGTCCCAGCCTGGTAACCGGTTCATATTGACACCTTGTGATGAAAGACCTATGCCCATATAACTGTCACAGGAGAAAATACAAAACACACACAAAAAGACATAAATACAGTATTAATTTTTTTTTCACTGAAGACTAAACTATATTTTCATGGTGAGACAAATAACTCACTAAACATCTATTTTACAAACATTTCCTGTCTGTCTGTCTGAGTGTCTATCTGTCTGTCTGAGTGTCTATCTGTCTGTCTGAGTCTATCTGTGTGTCTTTTATCTTCAGTTATTCCTCTCCTATTACTGTATGGTGTAGACCTACATTAGTGAAGTGGTTAATGCTATATTTTGGATGATATAATGATAATAATACACATGATCTTTGAATTTGGAGATTAAAAAACTTACACACACACACGCACACACGCACGCACGCGCACACACACACACGCACACGCACACACGCACACACACACGCACACTCACCCATCTCTGCCTTTACTGACGATTTTGACCTCATAGTAGTACAGACCACAGGCGGCCGGAATAGGATTTGTGGCGCGGACACTTGCTGCATCCTTGTGATTCTTCCCGTGTCCTGTAACGATAATCTGGCGGTTAGTTAAGTGTAGTTACCACCCCACTGCTGGTTAAGTGGGGGCCCTCAATAACAGGTGCTGAGTTAATGGGACCACATCAATTATCTCCATCCCAGCTTATTTCATCTAAGGATTAACTATCTTATTATTATTATTATTATTATTTTCTTATTATTTTATTTTTTTTGGGGGGGCGGGGGCGGGGGGGGGGTTAGGTTAGGGTGGTTAATCTTTAGGTGATCCACTTAATATATAATGAAAACAGTCATAAGCACTGAACTAACCCAAACAAAATCTAATTAATGATGCTAACCTAACCTAACCCAAGAGGACTTACCATTGGTGCCATCTATGCTGACTCCCTCCCAGACAACACACCTTTCCTTTACCTTGTCCCTCTGAAAACCTGACTTACAGTAGTAGTCACACATGGCTGAGAGGCAGGAACAACATACTGTACTGTACTCTTTCCCAACTTCTCTCCCTCATTAATGGAAACACTAAACCCTCATTCATTAAACCAGATTTATTACAGGTATATTAACTACTCTAAAAAATTCACAGTCGAAAAGTTAACAGTGTGAAGCAAGATGCATCTACAGTACTCCATCTGGTCCCCCTAGGAGACACATTAAGCCGGGAGGCATCTGAGAACAGAGGCTGGAATTGAATGGATTGATCCATGGACTTCCGATACAGCCAATCCAGCAGAAGGGTGAGGTGTGTACATGGCTGATGTGTTGTGACTCACTTCTACAGATCCCCAGGGGGACTTGGTTGTGATGGGAAGGCATAACTTATGAGTCACCTAAGGATTACACACCCCAGCTTACTTCACCAGAGTATTACACACCCCAGCTTACTTCACCAGAGTATTACACACCCCAGCTTACTTCACCAGAGGATTACACACCCCAGCTTACTTCACCAGAGTATTACACACCCCAGCTTACTTCACCAGAGGATTACACACCCCAGCTTACTTCACCAGAGTATTACACACCCCAGCTTACTTCACCAGAGTATTAAACACCCTAACATTAACCCTCTGGTACTCCTGGCCATGGTTGGAAATCTCACCCCCTCGTAGTCTTTAGACGCAACAAACGGTTTTTCCAATTTAATAAACATTGTGTAGGGTGATCCAGACCCAGAATTGCACCCTTAGAGATGCATCTGCCAGCCCATGAGGTTAGTGGGAGGAACTCAGGTGGTTGATAGAGCCAGTCCACCGTTCTGTTGTCAGTGTGTGAGATACGGCTGAACGGGAGGGGTCGTAACGGCATGGGAGCGCTTAGCGACGCAATCTGAGTCACAAGACAACAAGAGAGTTAACCTAACCTAACCTTACTCCCCAGGTAGCATTAGGGCGTTTTTAATTGTCAGGTGAAATAAGCTTGGTGTTTAATCTTCAGATGATCCTTACTAATCAATGCCTTGGTGCCAGCAGCTTATGTCAAGGATCTGGTTAAGTCTCCAGCACATAAACTCATGAGGGTAAATATATGAGATATGGGTCATAAAAAATTACATAAATCATAAGGTCTAAAATGGACTTTGCACTAACCACTAACTGACACCTATCTCTCAACACTGTCAATAAATGGTCTTGACTACATAAGTTAACAAGTAACATTAACAAATTGCCTCATTTGAATATCTCATCAGCTATCAAAATCTCTTTCATTTCATTCTTAAAAAATTAAGTTTCTCATTGAACGGACCAATCATATCACCTGAAGAATATCCACCCCAGCTTATTTCACCTAAAGATTAACCACCCTAACACTAGTATTTGGGGGGGGGGAGGGTAAGTTAGGTTAGGTTAGGTTAGGTTAGGTCAGGTCAGGTCAGGTCAGGTCAGGTTAGGTTAGGTTAGGTTAGGTTAGGTCAGGTCAGGTCAGGTCAGGTCAGGTCAGGTTAGGTTAACATTAGGGTGGTTTAATCTTGAGGTGAAATAAGCTGGGGTGGATATTCTTCAGGTGATTCAACTAATCAGTATATATGTATGTATGTATGTATGTATGTATGTATGTATGTATGTATGTATGTATGTATGCATGTATGTATGTATATAATGTACAAAAAGGCCTTGCTTTTATGTGCAGCCACACTTGACACACCTAAGCTAAATATACTGTACTGGAAGACGTGACAAAGATATTATCAAAACTCCAAAACTAAACAAACATTCGATATATTGCTGCGGTGTTAATATTCCTCAACCTGATATTTTTCTGCCAACTTTATATACCGGTATTGGAATGAATTAGTCGTGATATCTTAGTCAGGGCATACTGGAATGAATTAGTCGTGATATCTTAGTCAGGGCATACTGGAATGAATTAGTCCAGTGATATCTTAGTTAGGACGTACTGGAATGAATTAGTCCAGTGATATCTTAGTCAGGGCATACTGGAATGAATTAGTCCAGTGATATCTTAGTTAGGACGTACTGGAATGAATTAGTCCAGTGATATCTTAGTTAGGGCATACTGGAATGAATTAGTCCAGTGATATCTTAGTCAGGGCATACTGGAATGAATTAGTCCAGTGATATCTTAGTCAGGGCATACTGGAATGAATTAGTCCAGTGATATCTTAGTTAGGGCATACTTGAATGAATTAGTCCAGTGATATCAGGGCATACTGGAATGAATTAGTCCAGTGATATCTTAGTCAGGGCATACTGGAATGAATTAGTCCAGTGATATCTTAGTCAGGGCATACTGGAATGAATTAGTCCAGTGATATCTTAGTCAGGGCATACTGGAATGAATTAGTCCAGTGATATCTTAGTCAGGGCATACTGGAATGAATTAGTCCAGTGATATCTTAGTCAGGGCATACTGGAATGAATTAGTCCAGTGATATCTTAGTCAGGGCATACTGGAATGAATTAGTCCAGTGATATGTTAGTTAGGACGTACTGGAATGAATTAGTCCAGTGATATCTTAGTTAGAGCCTTATTGTGACGGGAGGACACCATGACAAAGCACATCTGTTACCATATACACATTAGTTGGAGTAAAGTAGAGGAGCAACAAAGTGAAGAAAAATGCCAAAAAACGCCCTTCAAGTTTAGAGGGAGATGTGAGGATTATAATGGCACAATAAATACATCTCTAGCACCATTTGTCTTGGTCTAGCCTGGAGTGATTCACATGAAGAAGAATGACAGGCATGTTTTTTTTGGGTCTTGATTTCCAGCCATCCTAGATCATAGTACAGGTAGTAGAAAAAATACCTATTGCCGTGAACCTTAGCTATACAGTACAGCTATACTTTTCTTTATACTCAAGTCACACACCTTATCAACAGGTAACCAGGAAGCAAGTTGAGCTACAGTACATACAACATCATGCATGACTACCTTCAAAGATTGTCATGCACTCTGTATATTGATTTATCTGACAGCTCTGATAAACTCCACCCACACACAGGCCAAGGAGTGTGTATAGAACCTAACCTTTTTTTTTAAAGTCTGGTTCTGTTACATATCCAGAAACTCTTTATTTTTACAAAGACCATCATTTATTCAGCCTGTTTTTTTCTCAATATACTTAAAGATGGCCAAAACCAGGAACAAAAATAGATTCTTATAGTATATTTGTAATTACCTAAAATTACTTACACCAACACTTCAGTTCACTATAGTAATAATAATGAAAGACCTGAGCTCTCCATAATTAGTATGATAAGAGTACTGCACCTATGCCACTGTCTGCTAGCTAATGGTGATGTCATATAGGTACAGTTTGTGTCATTGGTATTGTTACAGTGAAATGGTCGACTAGTAAGTAGAATTGGATTACAGTATACTGTAGTCTGCATTTACGCAGTCAATTGAACCCATGGAGGTCCACATAAAACGAGAAACGCGTAAATGAAATAACAGAACATATGGAATTAATTGAAATAGAGACTGGGCCGACCCCCAAACTCCACTTTTTCCGACACAATACGTACAGTGTAGTAAAAATAGTACTGTATCTTAATTTTATGATGGTATGCACACACACATAATATAGAAGAGAAATATCAATAAGAGAATAATATACTGTACCAGGTAAAAGAAAATCAAGGTTTAACACTTACGTTAGTAGAAGAGATGGGTAAGCGTACGAGGATGGGGGCTGGTTCCGAGGCAGAGGGCAGATTAGTGGCCCTCAGGTGAATCACTATCACTATCCACCACAGATGTCAGGGCCTCCCTGACAAACCCCTCAAAGTCACCATCACTGTCACTATCACTGGCTTGGGCTGGCTGTGGTGGGTTGCGGGCGAAGAAGTCGGTGATGCTACGCTCACAGCTAGTGTTGATGTGGTCGTGATACACCTGGATGTACTGCTCCATACTTTGGTCTAGAAGGTTATTGAAGACTTCATACCGGTGATTGACATGGTCTTTTGAAAGGGTGAGCTTTAGTTTCTCGGCAAACTCGATGGCATCCTTTACATCACCATGAGTTAACTTCTGTTCTCTTGCTGCTGCACCACCTGCCTCCTCACTGACGTCATCGTCTTCCAACATCTCGTCGGCAGTCACCTCAGGATCCCTGATTACCTCCATGATGTCGTCGTTGGTGGTCTCGAAGAAGCCTGCAGCTGTAACACTCTGTGCAGCTTCTCTTGCAAGGTCCACTGCCCCTGCAACAGACTGAACCTCACCAGCCACAGATTGCCTCTGCCTCCCTCCTGGGATACCTTGCAACACATGCCGCCACGCGTGACGAATCGTTGCCACAGACAGCTGCCCCCCATTCCTCCACCAAGAAATCAACAGCTTTCTTGACGTTAAACATTTTCCAAAACTGTTTAACTCGCACTTCATGCTCCGCCAACTCTTGTTCTGGATCCTCGTCGTCGTCGCTCTCGCTATCTGTGCCACTCAGAAGGTTACACAACTCATCCTTGGTGTTGGTACAGTCATTCAGGAGCTTAAACTTCTTTGCGGAGAATGCAGCCTTCACGTTGCATATCAACTCCTGGTCCATG